AAGTAGTAACACGCCGCTACCGCAATTGAGTGCAGGGGCATACGACAACTGGGTTTTCAGGATAAAATGCATACTCGCAGAAAAAGGTCTAACAGAAGTTTTGGATATAAAGAAAATAGTAGACTGTGATGAGAAGATGAAACTCATGGATGCAAAAGCGAGAAGTATCATCGTCCAAAGCGTGACAGACCAACACTTAAACCTGATAAAAGAAAGCACAAGCGCGAAAGAAATGTTAGAAGTTTTGAAAAACACATTCCAACGAAACACGGTCATATCAAAAATATGCCTAAGAAGAAAGTTATTGACTTTGAAACATACAGGAAAATTAGAAGAATATTTCGCCAATTTCGACAATCTTATAAGAGAATTAGAAGTGTCAGGAGAGAAAATTGCAGAAAATGAAAAAATCAGCTACCTCTTAACTGGATTGGGAGAGGAATTCAACGCAATAATAACAGCAATGGAAACGGTAAACCAAGAGCTAAGGCTCGACTTCGTAAAGTCTAGATTGCTTGACAATGAGATAAAGAGGGAATATAGTAGCACAGAACCACAATCTTCATTTGTCATCAAATGCTATACATGCCATAAAAAAGGGCATAAATCCTTCGAGTGCAAAAGCCGAGGACGAGGCAGAGGCCGCAGATATAGAGGTACTACAAGAACACAGTATAATGAAACAGCACAATGCCCCCCCCCCCCCAATGATTTCCACATCGCCCGGTTGATAGCGGCCTGCATGCAGCTTCCTGCTACCTTTATGAGGTCGTCGGTCCACCTTGAGTGGTAGTAATTAATAATATGACTTTTTCACAGCCGTTACGCTCTCGACGTGGTCTGCAAGTCGCTGTTCTTCATATTGTTGGCTTGGCTCCTATATTCTTATCTGGATGCCTTCACGTCATCTGTTGAATACCTCGACAGTACACTGAAGAGTCTACCACCGATTAGAAACGTCAAAGCTGAAGAAATCGGGGAAAGTATAAGTTAATAAACAAAAAATAGTTCTGGCGCTTACAAACTCAGAGCCCGTATTCACAAACATTAATAAGAGGTCTCACAGACTCTCACAGTGTGCGTGAACGCACAGGGAGACACACAAACTACTACCCGTTTGCGCTAAGTTTGCCGGTCCGTGGAATGCTCGTCCCCTCTCCCAACCGCGATTAAACGCAATTAGTTAGAGATTAAACGCAATTAATGTGTCTTATTTTCAGCAAATACACAATTTTTATCAATAATAACAAATAAAAAATATTTTAAATATAGTTTGATAAAGTTATAGACGCTTAACTTCGAGTAACGTCATATCGCCAGCGGCAAACTTAAAGCGAACGGATAGTAATTACAGAACTCTATTCAACGCTGTGCGTATGATTTGTGCTGTTTCACTTAAGCAAGCATCGTTGTGAATACGGGCGTCATTCAGTGCCATAGGTATGGGACCGGCACGGAATTTTGTTACGTCAAATTTTAATGTCAGCGAGGCTTCAGATTTGTATAGATGACCCCTACTGAACTGTCACACCAAACTCAATGACAGGGGGGCGCTATCATCTTTCAACTAAATGGTTTCCAACATGGCAAAAATCGGAACCAGCGATCCGGTATTGACGGTGCGGTGGCGCCCCACTGTCAATGTCATTGATAGGACAGTTCAGTATTTTGGAAGTATAATATGCTCTGTCACGTCATAAATGTCAAAGTCCCCCTCCCGTGCCGCTCCCAGACCTCAGGCACTGACTGAGTAAGCGCTAGACGTAGAAAAAACTAGACAAAAGAAGGCGGAAAATAATTTTATTACCTTTAAATAAAATTTATTTCATTGTCATTTTCGTAGATGGAAAAGGCTTATTTTTAAGTAGTAAAATAATATTGTATGTTATGTATTTTTGCTTTGTTTGATTGTTGTAAAAAGTTTAGTGAACCTAATCTACCATAAATGTAAACAAGTAATTTAAAATAAGTAGAAACTTTGTAAAATATTGTAATTAATAATTAAAGTGTTTTGGGTCTTGTAATATTAAGAAAGTGCCAAAAAAATAATAAAATATTTTAAAAAGTGTAGAGAACATTATTTTCTGCTTTGGTTCACCCATGTTCATCCAGTTCATCTACTCCCCAATAGATGTCACTATTAAACTGACAGGATAATTTTGTCATAAAACTTTTTCTGTAGAAAAATCTTACACAAACGATATTATAGTCCCAATAATATTTGTAATTTTAATTTTAATCCATCCAATAAGAAAATAATTATTTTCTTTTAATTATTTCCGATTTGTACTACGCCGCATCCTCTAACGCATCATTGCCATGAAGTGAAGCTAAAGATAAAAATGGAGGGCAGAGTTGGAACAAAAACTTGAGTCAAATACCTACTTATATCTATCTCGCTCTCTGCGGCCCTACCACTCTTTTTAGTGTGAACTGTAGTATTGCTATCTTCTGATTTAAATCTCCTTGTAAATTCTTCGAAATAGCCAATTCACTCACCAAATCAGAAGTTAAACAAATAAATGATTACTATTTGAAACTAAGATTACCTAGTTATATAAAAAATCACAAAATTGTCGGCCATTTAGGCTTAATGTGTTGGCGAATCAGGGAATTACAATCCCAATTCCTGGGTAATCGGTACCATGTGGCAACATCGGCCCAATCCGGCCCATCATGGCGGGGGTATTTCGCCAAAAATGGTCAATTTTGCCTAATTTCCTTGGCACGAATTTTATTTCTGTTTTTAACTATTTTTAGTTTCCCATTGCATTAAGTAGTAAAAACTAAGCTAATATATCTAGAAGGGGTGTCATAATTCGTTTTAGAAACAAAGTTATGAGGTCATAAATTTTTGGTAGCCAAGGAAATTATTATAAATATTTTTTTCTCTAAGTTTTCTTCTGTGGTTTGCTTTTTTTTTGTTCGACCTATTTTTGTGTACTTTCGCAAGCAAACATGCCAATGAATATTATATCATTACGACCTTTTTACACAACTAAGGAAGATAAATGCAGTAGATTGAGTTAAAAGTTAAAAACAAGTTTTTCTATATCTATTCTGATACCTATTTCTTAAAATTTAAATTTTAAACTTATTCCAATAAAGAAATACTCAAAATTTGACTTTACGCCGAATTATTAATGGTCTTTTATAATTTCCTAGGTCATTTTATGCCACGGAAAACAAGGAAATTAGGACCAAAGAAATTAGATTTATGCCTAAAAGACACCACAGACAAAAACCTATTTACCCTATACATTTACTATTTAAATCATGGGTTTACCCCTACAGACACTACATTTGTGTAAATAAACAATAAAATTAATCCATTGTTTAGTTGCAAAAAACCGTCCAAAGAAATTGACTTTTTAGTAAACAAAAACCCAAGGAGGGACCTATTTATGCGATTTGTCGCGAAACTGATCAACGACGTGCTGTCCTGCCTCAATGGCCTCTTGGGACGAAATGGCCGAGTGTAGTGGTGCAGTGCGTTACATTCTAAGTTTTTTCGTTTCGTTACAACAATGGTCGAAACGAAGACCCAGGGAAATTATACTTTTGATCTGGACAAGAACTTAACTTCACTTTATTTTCTTCCTATAAGTATTTGACATTTAAAGTTTTTATTTTCCGATAGCCAAACGTTTCTCAAATGTAAAGAGAGTGCTATAAGAATTAAATTACGCTTCAATTTGTTATAATGAGCCTTCATTTTGGCAAACAACAGTAATGGACATGACAAGGAAATTAGAAAAACGACTTTTGATTAAGTTTTTCTACGGTATTATTTGTAGTTTCTGCTATTGTAATAGCAAAAACAAATAAAACTTTTGATTAACTTTCTCATAAAAATAGTTTTATACAGATAGATATAAAAAAACATGTGTTCGCCTGCCTGGACACAGAAAATTTACTGTTTCGGCGAAATACCCTTGTTTACTATTTTGTTTATTAAGCAGTCAATTTCGTTTGAGATTGTTTACAGGAAATAATCATTGTTTTATCACAAGAATTGGTGCAAAATTTTGTAGTGCGTAGTTGCGGTAGTACGTGGTGTCCTGGAAGTGACATAAGATTCCACGCGTAAGTGTTTATTTCGTGATTTCCGACATTGGATCATTGTAAACATTTTTCACATTTTTTACAGTAATTTCTTCCTAAAACGTTTTACCAGTAATGACACTTATCATTTTTATTGATACCTATGTCAAGAAATAAAGATTTTACATTGGTTTCGGGCCGATTTTTCAATCGTCGGATAACTTTTAATAAAGGAATAAGTTTGGCACATTGACAGTTTCAGTATGGGAAATATGTCAAAATGACAAGCTTATTCTTCAGTTAAAAGATATCTGACTATTGAAAAATCAGCCCTTCATTGAATTTGAGCAATTTTATATTTTTTGTTTATTTAGAAAGAGCGAGTCTGCCCACAGAGAGCGAGATAGTGATACTTAGTTTGTGCTTCAAGTAGGTATTCGGAGTGTGGCCTCCATTTTTATCTGTAGCTTCATGATCATTGCACTCTTCTTCATTCACGTGATCATTCAATCAATCCCGAAAATGAATGAATGAATCTAAAGAATGCACTTTAGTGATGTACAATGTTTTTCTATTTCATTTTCAATTTACACTACTATTACATATTATCGATTATCATTGAAATATCGATTTTCAAAAAAAACATTTTTTTTTAACAGAAGAAAGTTTAGTGTGAAGTGAAGTGACATAACAATTAGCTTTGATTAATAAAGATTTATTAATCAAAATGGCATTAAAAGTAAAAAAGATGACGCATCGTAAAGAATTTACAATGTTTTTTTTTTAAGTTTTTGAGTGATCATATTGATCAATTTATGATATAGGACATTTTATTGATATTATGTATCGTTCTTTTATTAATAAATATCGATCGCTCATAAATAATTGAACAGTATATCGATTAAAATGTAAGTTAGCGTGACAGCACTATCTTTCATTCATGAATTCCTCACTGACCTCATCACTCGTACAACTGTCAAACAGACATTTTTCGTCAAGGAAGAAATCTTTGCTATTTTTAAAATTCTATAAAGTTTTACTTTGAAATTTAGTGCCAATAAAATGTCTGACAACAAGGAAACACCGAAAAAGGACGTTGATCCTGAATTGGACGATTTGTTGGACAGTAAGTCGATTTTTTAATTATCATGATTGTTACACAATTTTTCTAACCTTTGCGTTACTTACTTTGGTAAACTTGTCCCTCATTGTTTTATAGAGATCTAAATTGCATTAAATTTTAGTTCTATTCTGTAGTTTCTACTATAAAAATGTAGATTTAAAGTATAGGAATGTAGTTTTTAGAATGTCTTTATCAACAGCTCTCTTTGGCATGATTCTAGTAATAAATCTTAATCAAAGTGTCAGATTTCGTTTTTATTTATTGGTTAATGGGCCGTGTTCTGCCTGACTAACACTGGTAACAAGTTCTGCTCTTTTTTGGCAAAGTTATAGCTAGTTTTAATAATTGTAGTAAGAAATTGTCACACTAATTAATTAGCTAACCACAAATTGAGCAGAGCTTGGGTAATTGACATCATATTGACAGTTCTTTGGTAAAAATAGTCGTTTCTTATAATTACCGTGCCCTACAGGCCCCATAATGTCTAGTTTTTATCTTCATAATCATTATGAACTTCCATTAAAAGGAAGCAATTATGAGCATAATATTTGACTACACAGATTCTATTGTAAACCCTTGAGCAAGACACTGACAATGGTGACTGAGTTTCTTGCGCTGCTTCTTCTCAGCACTGGCCCATTTATTGTCCCGAAGCAGTTGTAGGGTTAATACTGGGACATACAAAAGCGTATTTGCTGAAAATATAGTACTTTTATGACACTTTCAATTTAAAGGTTAATGCAAAATAACATCTATTAAAACTAAGGCCCGAATCGACCAACCTTTGATCCGAGAATGACTCCTGGTATAACTGACACATTGACGTGGGAAATATGTTCAAATTGACAATTTATTCTGAGATTAATATTTACTCTTGTTTGGTCGAATCCACCCTAAGCCTGAGTTGCATTTTGACTATGTTAGTTTTGCAGGGCAATCGAATACCGCACTTTGAGGCTAAGTGCGGTATTTGATTAGGCCATTGTGCGCGAGTTGACAATATTAATAACCATAATAATTGGTGCTTTTTGTATGGAGTTTGACAAACTTTTGACGCTTTATAAAGTTAAAGTAAGATGGTGCAACCTAGCTTTAGATACCAGTGTTTATTTTGACATGCTATTGTCTATCAAACGTCTAATAGAATTTAAATTCTGGTGATGATGTAGTTTGTTTAATCGCTGACATCATTCTGTCAACAAAATGATTGTCAGTGCTAAATACACAGTTAAATAACCTCTATTTACTCTACAACACCAATGGTTGAAGTTTCAATCACATTTAACAAACATTTTTTGTGTAACTTATTGTATCGGTTTGGTTGTATTCTGAGTAAAATAATTTTAAGACTTTTTTTTGGGACGTGAAATGTCAGCAAGACTTCAAATGTGCTTCAGATTTGTATGCTTTGTCACGTCATAATATGTCAATGTCACCCCTCCCGTGCCGCTACCATACCCCAGGTACTGACTGAGTTAAATGCTAAACCTATATTCTTATCATACAAAAGACAAATATAATGGGTGACACTTCTCATTCTAATTACATATCAATTATGCATACGTCCTTTGCGTATGACATTGTCAGAGCATTAAACTAATTGTCACAGCTTGAAGTCCTTGGTTCAATTCCCAATAGAAATATGTATCATTCTACTCTAGATGTTTCTACAATTAGTCAAAAATACAAAAAGAGGCTGACTAACCACCCCAACCACCTTGCTGTGGAACTCACAATCCCTGAAGCTATGCGTCGACTGAAACGACGTCACATTCTGGACATAGACAGCCAGAATTAACCATGGAGTCCCAGTAAGGGATTCTGCTTTCATCGCAGAACAAATTTGTTCATAATCTGACTGATCGCATAATGATGGAATAAAAGAAAAAAAAAGATGTTTCTAAGCCTAGGAGCAGACCACCGACTTTTAATTGGCCGATAGTTGAGTCGGGCTGTTAATCAGTATGGAGATGTATGAAAGTGCGCACATTGGATCGCGCGATCCTTCGTACAAATTAGAGTAGGCGCACACCGTTGATTTTTAGTTGGTCGATAGTTGTGTCCGATTTTAATTTGTATGAAGAATCGGCCAAATCGAATCGGCGTAGTGTGCGCACTCCCATACATGCCCATACTGATCAACTGCCCGACTAAACTATCGGTCGACGAAAAATCAACGGTGTGCGCCTACTCTTAGAATCGGGCCCAACTATCGGCCGACTTCTTTTTTAATAACAGTGCTCATTACAGCTCTAATCGATTTGTTGCAACAACATTAGGGCTTTAATTAATAGATAATGACCTTGTGTTACTGATTAATTAGGGATTTAGATTACCTAAACCATTCGCCACCTGATTAGGTGACGGAGGACGGTTAAATAATTATTTTTAGCTGATTAGGGTGACCGATGTACAGACGGACGTAGAGACAATGTCCGTTGGGGCAGAAAAGTTCTCGAGTAGCGACCACGAGCTGGAAGACGTAGCGTGGGCAGGCCTCCTACTAGATGGACCGACGATCTGGTGAAGGTCGCGGGAGAGCCTGGATGCGGGCAGCGCAGGACCGTACATTGTGGAAAACCTTGGGGGAGGCCTTTGTCCAGCAGTGGACGTCATTCGGCTGAAACGAACGAGGGTGACGGATAATTATTTTTGGCACATAATCGTGGAATATTTTTCTTTTGATAAGTTTAAAATTATGTCTGAGTCACCAGTTGAATATTTTTGTTTTGATAAGTTTGGATTTAATATTACTGAGTCACCAGTTAATTGATGTTTTTTTATGAGCTGTCGAAACTGTGTGTTCATTGTTCATATAATTTTCTTTTCTAATACTAAAAACTAATATCAATGGTATGGTAATTGAAAGAAATTGAACATGGAAATACCTTCGCTTGACGTTCCTTGTAGATTTAAAAAAAATATGGGTGACATGAAATGATGGCTGTGAATGTAGAATTGTAGAGAATGGGAAAAAATAATAATTTTGTAATTATTATATTGATAATTCAATTAATGCCCCATCGGCTGTCAGTTTTGAGTACTGCCCTGCCCATTGCCACTTCAGCTTGCTAATCCATAGGGCTACCTATGTCAGCGACTTAAGTTCGTTTACGGATCTCCTCATTTCTGAATCGATCTCGTAAAGAAACACCGAGCCTAGCCCTCTCCATAGCACGCTGTGCAACTTTGAGCTTTTTTATGAGGCCTGTACGTGACTATTCCCACCTCTCGTTCCCACCGCTGCAACTCCTGTGTAGCCAGGATCTACGGCTTGACCGCCAATAATAACCCAACCAGTGAAGGTCAAGTTTGTACCGGGGGAATGTTAAACTGTCATTGGACCCGCATCGAAATTAATCAGAAGAACATAGGAGGAGTTCGAAGTTAAGGTTCGAAGGTCAGGTTCATACGTACGAAGATTTATGAGGCCTGTAGTGTGCATCTATAGTCTGGTCTGCGAGCACGTAGAATTTTGTCCAATGATCCCAAGCTACCCACCCATTCTTATCGCTCGCGCGTAATTATGTTGCTGTCGCGCTCGCACACTCACTGCGGGCGTCCGTCGCACAGTCGCGACAGCAATATAATTACGCGCAAACTATAAGGATGGGTAGTTTGGGGTCATTGGACAAAATTCTACGTGCTCATAGACCGGGTTTTAGGCTATAGCCTAATTAATTGCGTGATTTTCTTTTTCATCTTTCTCTGTATGTTCTTTCTCTGTTCCTCACAGGTGCCCTTCAAGAGATGACCAAGAAACAAGAGGCAGATAAACCCACAGGGTCTGGAGAAGTCAACATGTGGAGTGAGGAGTTCATAAAGGAGGCGGCGGCGCAGTTTGAGACCAATATGGCGGCTATACTGGGCAGTTTTAGCGGGGTACCAGGTCAGTCACAAATGTATGCCTTTTTAATTATTTATTTATTTACAAACGAGGCGGCGCGGGAGCGGGACAGAAGCGGCGCGAACGCGGGCCCGCGATGTTGTATTACTATGTCGGCCATATTAGCATGACACACCGGACGCAGGGCGGTAGCAGCGCGTTGAAAGCGGTTTTCGAATATTTAAATTTTTGACAACCCCCCGCGTTGCAACTGCTTTGAAACCGCGCTGCTTTCAGTTTGCAACTGACCCGCACTGCTTCTGACCCGCGTTTGGTCTGTGGAAGCCTTCAAAGTCGCCCAAAACACAGATCTCCCCAAAAAATTTCCCTAACAGAGTCACTGAGGCTACGGTCTCCTATTAAACGCTACTTACGCGGCGTTCGATGTCAACCTCTGAAAGAGGCCACAACAGTACATTTCTGTAGTAAGTGCCGTGTCGCACGGCCTACGGCGTTTATACGACCATAGACTTATGTTTAAAAGGTTCATTTTAGCTGAAAGATCTTTGGAAAACGTCCAAAGATTTCCATAACAACAGATCTTGCCCTGATTGCATTGCACCCAGGCGCTTTCCATCTTCACCTGATAGAACGTCATCGTCAACGAGTCGGCGCTGTGAACCTAGTGTTATGTCGGGACTATTCCCACCTCTCGTTCCCACCGCTGCAACTCCTGTGTAGCCAGGATCTACAGCTTGACCGCCAATAACCCAACCAGTGAAGGTCAAACTTGTCTCGGGGGAAAGTTAAACTGTCAATGGACCCATCATCATCATCTCAGCCATAGGATGTCCACTGCTGAGCATGGACCTCCCCCAATGCTTTCCATGCTGCCCGGTTGGTAGCGGCGGCAGCAAGGTTCTGGAGTGGAGGCCGCGTACCGGAAAATGCAACGTCGGACGTCCACCGACAAGGTGAACCGACGACATCATAAAGGTCAATGGACCCGCAGCGAAATTAATCAGAAGAACTCAGGAATTTGCAGCACCACTTTCCTCCAATAGCCAATTTAGAATTTGTTCAAATACAGTATTTCAGCTTTATGTTTTTGTTACAGAGGACCAAATCACACAGGACCAAATTGCACAAACGTTCACGAAAATGGCCGGTGAGTAGTTAATCTTGCTTACAGATTATACTACTAAAGTCCGGTCGCCGAGCACGTAGATTTTCGCAACAGCAATATAATTACGCGCAAGCGATAAGGATGGGTAGCTTGGAGTCATTGGACGAAATTCTACGTGTTCGGCGACCGGACTATACCAATATATGTATGAAACCTGCTTACAGATAATGCTTAGTTTTTTTAAACCAACATTTCCATTAATAATTTTGGACTACAGAAGCGGCCGCGACAGTTTTAAAGCCGGCAGCGCAGGCCGGGGACTCCGCCCCCTCGGAACAGGATCCCGCCGTACAGGAGAAGATTGACGAGGTAAATCAGTTTTCCCACTAAGGTTGAGTCCGCAATACGGTTTTTAGGGTTCCGTGGCCAATGGCAAAAAACGGAACCCTTATAGATTCGTCATGTCTGTCTGTCTGTCCGTCCGTCTGTCCGTCCGTATGTCACAGCCATTTTTTTCCGAAACTATAAGAGCTATACTGTTGAAACTAACTTGGTAAGTAGATGTATTCTGTGAACCGCATTAAGATTTTGATGCAAAAATAAAAAAATAATAATAAATATTGGGGGCTCCCCATACTTAGAACTGAAACTCAAAAAAATTTTTTTCGTCAGACACATACGTGTGGGGTATCTATGGATAGGTCTTCAAAAATGATATCGAGGTTTCTAAAATACTTTTTTTCTAAACCGAATAGTTTGCGTGACAGACGCTTCCAAAGTGGAAAAATCTAAAAAAGATGTACATTACTATAAAAACTACCAACGAAAATTGTTTTGAACGAGATCTAGTAAGTAGTTTTTTTTAATACCTCGTAAATCGTAAACCGCTTATTACCGCGTAATCTTTCATACAAATAACTTAAATTAAAAAAAAAACAAATCAATTGTACGGAACCCTTTGTGCGTGAGTCCGACACGCACTTGACCGGTTTTTTTAAAAGATAGAGCTCGTGAAGCACTTTCAGGATCAGTAACCAGTTTTTCGATATCTTGTATAGTTTAGAAATAATCGAAGGAGATCACTTATCGTTTCCACCCTGTATAAATGACCGGTGTGCTTACCATGAGTTTACGTTAGGAGTGCTTTTAGTTGTTGAAAGTGGCCGCTAGAGGCGCTGTACAATCTGTCATACATTTTAAGACATTTTTTTACGTAGTCGCTAGTGAGCATACCTAAAGTAAACTCGTGGTAAGCACACTGATGAAAAATCCGAAAACCGGCCAAGTGCGTGTCGGACTCACGCACAAAGGGTTCCGTACCATTGATTTATGATTTTTTTTTAATTCAAGTTATTTGTAAGAAAGATTATAAGCGGTTTACGATTTACGAGGTATTAAAAAAAACTTCTTACTAGATCTCGTTCAAAACAATTTTCGTTGGTAGTTTTTATAGTAATATACATCATATGTTTTTTTTTAGATTTTTCATTTTCTTATTTTAGAAGTTAGAGAGGGGGGGATTAACTTTTTTCCACTTTGGAAGCGTCTGTCACGCAAACTATTCGGTTTAGAAAAAAATATTTTAGAAACCTCGATATCATTTTTGAAGACCTTTCCATAGATACCCCACACGTAGCTATGTGTTTGATGAAAAAAAAAATTTTGAGTTTCAGTTCTAAGTATAGGGAGCCCCCAATATTTATTATTATTTTTTTATTTTGGCATCAAAATCTTAATGCGGTTCACAGAATACATCTACTTACCAAGTTTCAACAGTACCTATAGCTCTTATAGTTTCGGAAAAAAATGGCTGTGACATACGGACGGACAGACAGACATGACGAATCTATAAGGGTTCCGTTTTTTGCCATTTGGCTACGGAACCCTAATAAGGGTCTTCGTTCGTTCGTTTCAGCCGAAAGACATCCACTGCTGGACAAAGGCCTCCCCCAAGGTTTTCCACAAAGACCGGTCCTGCGCCGCCCGCATCCAGGCACCTGCGACCTTTACCAGATCGTCGGTCCACCTAGTGGAAGGCCGGCCTGCACTACGTCTTCGCCCGTGGTCGGCACTCGAGAACTTTTCTGCCCCAGCGGCCATCAGCTTTACGGGCTATGTGCCCCGCCCAGTGTCACTTAATTTTAGCGATTCTGCGGGTCTATTAATGAAGAATAGGCTAGTTGCCTAAAAAAATTTTTTTAGTGCNATAGGATAGTTTTTATCCCGGTTTTTGAAACAGGGACGCGCGCGATAAAGTTTTTCTGTGACAGACAAAATTCCACGCGGGCGAAGCCGCGGGCGGAAAGCTAGTTTGTTATAATGTGCCTTCATTTTGGCAAACAACAGTAATGGACATAACAAGGAAATTAGAAAAACGACTTTTGATTAAGTTTTTCTACGGTATTATTTGTAGTTTCTGCTATTGTAATAGCAAAAACAAATAAAACTTTTGATAAACTTTCCCATAAAAATAGTTTTATACATATAGATATAAAAAAACATGTGTTCGCCTGCCTGGACACAGAAAATTTACTGTTTCGGCGAAATACCCTTGTTTACTATTTTGTTTATTATGCAGTTAATTTCGTTTGAGATTGTTTACAGGAAATAATCATTGTTTTATCACAAGAAATGGTGCAAAATTTTGTAGTGCGTGGTTGCGGTAGTACGTGGTGTCCTGGAAGTGACAGAAGATTACACGCGTAAGTGTTTATTTTGTGATTTCCCACATTGGATCATTGTAAACATTTTTCACATTTTTTACAGTAATTTCTTCCTAAAACGTTTTACCAGTATTTACACTTATCATTTTTAATGATACCTATGTCAAGAAATAAAGATTTTACATTGAGTTTCATTGAATTTGAGCAAATTTATATTTTTTGTTTATTTAGAAAGAGAGAGTCTACCCACAGAGAGCGAGATAGTGATACATAGTTTGTGCTTCAAGTAGGTATTCGGAGTGTGGCCTCCATTTTTATCTGTAGCTTCATGTTTCCAACATGGCAAAAATCGGAACCAGCGATCCGGCATTCACGGTGGCGCCCCACTGTCAATGTCATGCATAGGACAGTTCAGTATTTTGGAACTATTTAATAATTACCGCAATCGGGGCTCAGAGCCCCGATTACGGTTATAGTTCCAAAATACTGGACTGTCCTGTCGATGACATTGACAGTGGGGCGCCACCGTCAATACCGGATCGCTGGTTCAGATTTTTGCCATGTTGGAAACCATAAGTTGAGCAATGGTAGCGCCCCCCTGTCATTGAGTTTGGTGGGACCACAGATATCTGTGGGTGGGACAGTTCAGCGTGGGTCATCTATACTTTTAACGTCTACAATGAAATCCAGACGCGTTTCTGATTCTGCAATACGATTGGTCGTTCAACAGCGTACGTCAGCTGTTTTGACCAATCGTATTGCAGAATCAGAAACGCGTCTGGATTGTAGACGTTAAAAGTTACCGTAATCGGGGCTCTGGTCTGGGCCAATTTCCCGCATAGTGTACTTGCGCCAGTACACGGGCAGGGTGACTTTATCAAGGTCGCTAAGAAAGATTGATTGTACACTATCGCTTTGTAATCTGTGATTTACTTCAATTTATAGATGACCCACACTGAACTGTCCCGCCAAACTCAATGACAGGGGGGCGCTACCATCGTTCAACTATATGGTTTCCAACATGGCAAAAATCGGAACCAGCGATCCGGTATTGACGGTGGCGCCCCACTGTCAATGTCATCGACAGGACAGTCCAGTATTTTGGAACTATACTTGTGTACATCATAGAGAAAAGTAATACATAGGTGTACATTTTCGCAATATTCCTAATCCATATCTGTGCAATATTCGGACTGGTTTTGGTGTTGGTGCTTCTTGCTGGTAATTTGACTTTCAGAGAAGGGGTAGCGAAATTTAGTTTCGGCATCGTAAAATATTAACTCTGTTGTAGTTTTGACTGGTAAGAATTTTCGAATTNACTTTGGGGCGCTTTATCTCTTTAAATTTTCATTAGTTTGAAAAAGTGAAAAATACGTGTAGAGTATTTTTTGATAAGTTAACTGACGGACTAATTAAAACTCTTGCTTTTTGACCCAGGCAACATCCCCATTGTAATTTAATTTGCAGGTTTCAGCAGCCATATCCCAAACGCTGCAAAACTTGAACACCAACGCTGAGAATCTCCAAACACCGATGTCTGAGCAAGACCTAGCTAATATGTTCAGTAATTTCAACCTAGGCGAAGGGGGACAGGTGAGTCGTTAAAATAGGAAATTAGACTATACAGGGTGTCCCATAAAGACCGTGCCAAACTTAAGGAGAAGATGGGTAATGCAAAAAAGTATCACCGAGAGATATATGATTTTATTTTTTCATATTATTGTTTAAAACTTCCCCGTTTTGGGCCTATATCTTCTAGCTGTGTGTACAAATTATCAGATATTTCATCACTATCATCACCATTTCAGCCACAGGACGTCCACTGCTTAACAAAGGCCTCCCCCAATGATTTCCACAAAGGCCGGTCGGTAGCGGCCTGCATCCAGCGAGCGTCTTCCTTCTAAGCTAAGCTACCTTTATAAGGTCGTCTGTCCACCTTGTGTCCCACGCTTCGTTTTTCGGTACGTATCCTCCACTCCAGAACCTTGCTGCCCCATCGGCCGTCAGTTCTGCGTGCTATGTGCCCTGCCCATTGCCACTTCAGCTTGCTAATCCGTCGGGCTATGTCAGTGACTAATTTGTTTAGCATAGCTCTTTCTATAGTCACATCATAAAGCTAGAAGGAGGGCGCTGGACGCAGGCCGCTACAAACCGGTCAACATGGAAATCCTATGTTCTATGTTTAGCAGTGGATCTCCTATGGGTGAAATGGATGAGACTAGTGGATGACAGTCAATTTCCTAAGATCATCGAGAGATATTATGATTCTATTTTTCATATTTTAAAAAAATCCTCGTATTGGGCTTATATCCTTTTGCTGTTTACAAATTAGTAGTTATTTAAAATATGAAAAAGTCTTATCTCTAACCACACCAACGCGTGCAGATCACCATCGCCGGCGTTATCACAGGCCAATGACAGGTCGCGCGACCCATGACAGTCTGCGCGTTTCGAATCTAAACAGATGGTCATGATGGTAATTTATATTCTCCTTTATGGGACACCTATATCTACAGCTTTTAATTGAGTATTTTCTTTGTATTTACCTGCTATAGTCTGGTCTGTGACCACATAGAATTTTGTCCAATGACCCCAAGCTACCCATCCTTATCGCTCACGCGTAATTATGTTTCTGACGCGCTCGCACACTCACTGCGGCCGCCCGTCGCACAGTCGCGACAGCAATTACGCGCGAGCGATAAGGATGGTTAGCTCGGGGTCATTGGACACAATTCTGCGTGCTCGCAGACCGGGCTTTAGTTCTAACCAACTACCCTCAATTCCAGGACAGCAACATGTTCGTCCCGTTCATGCAAGGCATGATGCAGTCTCTGCTGTCGAAGGAAGTGCTGCATCCGTCGCTTGTCGAGCTGCTGGACAGATATCCAGCCTGGCTCGCGGAGCACAAGGACACGGTGGAGCCGAGCGAGTACGACAGGTGAGGAGCTCAGCTGAGGAGCCTGGTGAGGGCCGGAAGTTGGATGGGTGACCGCGCTTAAAGAGCGTAGCAAGTGTCTTAAAGTTGGATGGGTGACCGTCATAGCAATTGTCTAAAAGATGGATGGGTGACCGGGCATAGCAAGTGTCTTAAAATTGGATGGGTGACCCTCATTAAGCAACCTAGAGTTTGGTCACTATAGGATGGGTGACCGCGGCTAAAGGGCGTATCAAGTGTCTTAAAGTTGGATGGGTGGCCGGGCGTAGCAAGTGTCTTAAAGTTGGATGGGTGACCGCGCTTAAAGAGCGTAGCAAGTGTCTAAAAGTTGGATGGGTGACCGCGCTTAAAGAGCGTATAGCAAGTGTCTTAAAGTTGGATGGGTGACCGTTATAGCAAGTGTCTAAAAGTTGGATGGGTGACCGTCATTAAGCAGCCTAGAGTCTGGTCACTATAGGATGGGTGACCGCGTCAAGCGACCTTCAGTCCGGTCACTACAGGATGGGTGACCGCGTCAAGCGACCTCCAGCCTGGTCCTTATAGGATGGGTGACCGTCATTAAGCAACCTAGAGTCTGGTCACTATAGGATGGGTGTGGGCGTCAAGCGACCTTCAGCCCGGTCACTACAGGATGGGTGACCGCATCAAACGACTCCAGTCTGGTCACTACAGGATGGGTGTGCGCGTCGAGCAGCAGCAAGTATCTCTATGTGCCGCATGAAGCATGCGACGACATGTTCGCGACATGCAAGGCATGATGCAGTCTCTGCTGTCGAAGGAAGTGCTGCACCCGTCGCTCGTCGAGCTGGACAGATACCCGGCCTGGCTCGCGGAGCACGAGGGCACGGCGGAGCGAGCGAGTACGACAGGTGAGGAGCTCAGCTGAGGAGCCTGATGAGGGCCGGAAGTTGGATGGGTGACCGCGGCTGAGGAGTCTGGTGAGTGTCTAAAGTAGGATGGGTGACCGCGGCTGAGGAGCCTGGTGAGTGTCTAAAAGTTGGATGGGTGACCGCGCTTCAAGGGTGTAGCAAGTGTCTTAAAGTTGGATGGGTGACCGTCATAGCAAGTGTCTAAAGGATGGATGGGTGACCGGGCGTAGCAAGTGTCTAAAAGTTGGATGGGTGACCGGGCGTAGCAATTGTCTTAAAGTTGGATGGGTGACCGCGCTTAAAGAGCGTAGCAAGTGTCTTAAAGTTGGATGGGTGACCGCGCTTAAAGAGCGTAGCAAGTGTCTTAAAGTTGGATGGGTGACCGCGCTTAAAGAGCGTAGCAAGTGTCTTAAAGTTGGATGGGTGACCGCGCTTAAAGAGCGTAGCAAGTGTCTTAAAGTTGGATGGGTGACCGCGCTTAAAGAGCGTAGCAAGTGTCTAAAAGTTGGATGGGTGACCGCGGCTGAGGAGCCTGGTGAGGGGCGGAAGTTGGATGGGTGACCGCGGCTGAGGAGCCTGATGAGTGTCTAAAGTAGGATGGGTGACCGCGGCTGAGGAGCCTGATGAGTGTCTTATAGTTGGATGGGTGACCGGGCGTAGCAAGTGTCTAAAAGATGGATGGGTGACCCCGGCCGTAGCAAGTGTCTTAAAGTTGGATGGGTGACCGTCATTGCAAGTGTCTAAAAGATGGATGGGTGACCGGGCGTAGCAAGTGTCTAAAAGTTGGATGGGTGACCGCGGCTGAGGAGCCTGCTGAGGGGCGGAAGTTGGATGGGTGACCGCGGCTGAGGAGCCTGCTGAGGGGCGGAAGTTGGATGGGTGACCGCGGCTGAGGAGCCTGGTGAGGGCCGGAAGTTGGATGGGTGACCGCGGCTGAGGAGCCTGGTGAGGGGCGGAAGTTGGATGGGTGACCGCGGCTGAGGAGCCTGATGAGTGTCTAAAGTAGGATGGGTGACCGCGGCTGAGGAGCCTGATGAGTGTCTTATAGTTGGATGGGTGACCGGGCGTAGCAAGTGTCTAAAAGATGGATGGGTGACCCCGGCCGTAGCAAGTGTCTTAAAGTTGGATGGGTGACCGTCATTGCAAGTGTCTAAAAGATGGATGGGTGACCGGGCGTAGCAAGTGTCTAAAAGTTGGATGGGTGACCGCGGCTGAGGAGCCTGATGAGTGTCTAAAGTAGGATGGGTGACCGCGCTTAAAGAGCGTAGCAAGTGTCTTAAAGTTGGATGGGTGACCGTCATAGTAAGTGTCTAAAAGATGGATGGGTGACCGCGGCTGAGGAGCCTGGTGAGGGGCGGAAGTTGGATGGGTGACCGCGCTTAAAGAGCGTAGCAAGTGTCTTAAAGTTGGATGGGTGACCGCGCTTAAAGAGCGTAGCAAGTGTCTTAAAGTTGGATGGGTGACCGCGCTTAAAGAGCGTAGCAAGTGTCTTAAAGTTGGATGGGTGACCGCGCTTAAAGAGCGTAGCAAGTGTCTAAAAGTTGGATGGGTGACCGCGGCTGAGGAGCCTGGTGAGGGGCGGAAGTTGGATGGGTGACCGCGGCTGAGGAGCCTGGTGAGGGTCGGAAGTTGGATGGGTGACCGCGGCTGAGGAGCCTGGTGAGGGGCGGAAGTTGGATGGGTGACCGCGGCTGAGGAGCCTGATGAGTGTCTAAAGTAGGATGGGTGACCGCGGCTGAGGAGCCTGATGAGTGTCTTATAGTTGGATGGGTGACCGGGCGTAGCAAGTGTCTAAAAGATGGATGGGTGACCCCGGCCGTAGCAAGTGTCTTAAAGTTGGATGGGTGACCGTCATTGCAAGTGTCTAAAAGATGGATGGGTGACCGGGCGTAGCAAGTGTCTAAAAGTTGGATGGGTGACCGCGGCTGAGGAGCCTGATGAGTGTCTAAAGTAGGATGGGTGACCGCGCTTAAAGAGCGTAGCAAGTGTCTTAAAGTTGGATGGGTGACCGTCATAGTAAGTGTCTAAAAGATGGATGGGTGACCGCGGCTGAGGAGCCTGGTGAGGGGCGGAAGTTGGATGGGTGACCGCGCTTAAAGAGCGTAGCAACTGTAGCAAGTGTCTTAAAGTTGGATGGGTGACCGGGCGTAGTAAGTGTCTAAAAGATGGATGGGGACCGGGCGTAGCAAGTGTCTTAAAATTGGATGGGTGACCGTACTAGCAAGTGTCTTAAAGTAGGATGGGTGACCGCGCTTAAAGAGCGTAGTAAGTGTTTTAAAGTTGGATGGGTGAACGGGCGTAGCAAGTGTTTTAAAATTGGATGGGTGACCGCGCTTAAAGAGCGTAGCAAGTGTCTTAAAGTTGGATGGGTGACCGCGCTTAAAGAGCGTAGCAAGTGTGTTAAAGTTGGATGGGTGACCGCGCTTAAAGAGCGTAGCAAGTGTCTTAAAGTTGGATGGGTGACCGCGCTTAAAGAGCGTAGCAAGTGTCTAAAAGTTGGATGGGTGACCGCGGCTAAAGGGCGTAGCGAGTGTCTTAAAGTTGGATGGATGACCGCGCTTAAAGAGCGTAGCAAGTGTCTAAAGTTGGATGGGTGACCGCGCTTAAAGAGCGAAACAAGTGTCTTAAAGTTGGATGGGTGACCGCGCTTAAAGAGCGTAGCAAGTGTCTTAAAGTTGGATGGGTGACCGTCATAGCAAGTGTCTTAAACTTGGATGGGTGACCGTCATTAAGCAACGTAGAGTTTGGTCACTATAGGATGGGTGACCGCGTCAAGCGACCTTAATTCTGGTCACTATAGGATGGGTGACCGCGGTCAAGCAACTAAGGTTGGGTGACAGTGATCAAACGGGACTATTTTCCCACCTCTCGTTCCCACCGCTGCAACTCCTGTGTAGCCAGGATCTACAGCTTGACCGCCAATAACCCAACCAGTGAAGGTCAAGTTTGTCCCGGGGGAAAGTTAAACTGTTACTGTCATTGGACCCGCAACGAAATTAATCAGAAGTGACAGTGGTCAATCAGCCTTTAGTTTAGTCACCATGTAAATGTATGCCCAATAGCGTATTCTCAAAATCCAAAATCATTCGTTCATTCATTCATTCACTTGCCTCCAGGTACGAAAAGCAGATGGTGTTGATGCAAAAAGTATGCGCAGAACTGGAAACCGAGCAAGAATCCGACCCCGAAGACGTGAAGAGAAAACGCTTTGAAACAGTCCTAGAACTCATGCAGAAGGTATGTCATCATCAACATACATCATCATCATCAACAGCCCTTTACAGTCCACTGCTGGACTTTAAGCCTACTCTACTATAGTGGAGGGTTTTACCATAATCCCCACGCTTGGCAGGCGGGTTGGAGATCGCAGTTTAACACTGCAGTACACGCGCCCCTTTTTTACACGAATACACGCGCGGCCTACTCTGGTAAGCCAATTTAAAATCACTGTAAATCAGTTTGTAGTAAGTAATTTATGAATAGAATAATTATGTAAATGATAAAAGTGTTTATTATAGTTATTTTATTATCAAAGTTTCTTTATATAACTATTTGGGATCAAACATTATAAACAGATTTAAAAGTTGTAAATTTTTTGGACCAAAATTGCACTCTGAGACCAATGTTAACAAAAAAAAATTACTGAAAAAAATATGATTAGTTTTTTATCTGTCATAGTACTCATGACTTTCTACGGCCTGGTACACGGTGTAAATCCATTTGTTGCAAGTCTCATAATTTTTTTTGTCGAGTGATTTCGGGCTTTTGAGTAATTTGAGTAGACCCGCAGTTTTGACGGCCAATTTTAGAAAAGTGCGCAGACTCTAGCGACCCAAGCTTTACTGGCTTACTGACAAATTTAGTAAACGAGGCTTTCCTGGAATGCCAGCTCTCTGGCGCAAGTTTTCAAAAAGTTATAGCGTAAAATGTTACCCTGGTCTACTATAGTAGTCCGCGCGTGTACTCTAGTGTTAAAAGATTGATGTTTTTCAGAGAGCGCTGCTACTCGTTCTCTGTTTGATGTGTAGTCCCTAAGTCGCCTCTTACGAGACCCGCGGGAAGAGTAGGGGTTGGTGACAAATGTATTCTGCTCTGCCGTCACCACACGACTTTTAATATACACTCGGCGTCAAATAAATCGCACCTCCCGCGATAATAACTTTAAAGAAGTATTTTTGGGGTAAAAAACCTTTACTGACATAAAGTTTAGAAGTGGGCTTTCAAATGATATCAATATTGGTGGGAAGTGGGGATGCATACGTTTGAAACTGCTTGTCGCGGGAGGGAACATGACAAAACTATTCTTTCCTTTAGTCTCAGAATGTCCAATTTGCAAAATGTCAGTCTCAAAATGTCCAAGTTGCGAAATGTCCAAGTTGCGATATGTCCAAGTCTCAAAAGTTCAATGTTTCTTAAGCAATTATGAAATAAAAACTTATATTAGAAACTTTGAACTTTTAAGACTTGGGCACTCCGTAACTTGGACATTTTGAGAATTAGACATTTTGCGACTTGGGCGTTTAGAGACTTGGACATTTTGAGACTTTGACATTTTACTAAAGCCTGGTCCGTGAGCACGTAGAATTTTGTCCAATGACCCCAAGGTACCCATCCTTATCACTCGCGCGTAATTATGTTGCTGTCGCTCTCACACACTCACTGCGGGCGCGCGTCGCACAGTCGCGACAGCAATATAATTACGCGCGAGCGATAAGGATGGGTAGCTTGGGGTCATTGGACATAATTCTACGTGCTCACGGACCAGGCTTTACCACTTGACATTTTGCAAATTGGACATTCTGAGACTAAACCAAATTCTTCTTTTTGTGACCTTTTTTTTATACATGTTGTTACAGATGCAAGACTTAGGCCAACCTCCCGCGGAGCTAGTGGGCGATATAGGCGCCCCCCCTCAAGGGTTTGCCCCTCCCCCCGGGGCCGACGCATCGCAGTGCAGCGTTATGTAGTAACGCATAGTTATAAATACGCGATTGACCGTTTGCGACGCGATCTGTTAGGTGGTTGACCGTTTGTGAGGCGATTATTGACCGTTTGTGACAGTTTTTGAGGTGATTCATGACCATTATCGACCGTTTGAGACGTAGTTGACAGTTTCTGAGGTGATTTATGACCGTTTGAGAGGCTATATTGACCGCTTGTGGCGTTTTTGACCGTTTGAGACGCGATTTGTGACCGTTTGAGACGTGGTTGACCGTTTCTGAGGTAATTTGTGACAGTTTATGAGGTGGTTGACCGTTTGTCAGGCGATTATTGACCGCTTGTGGCGCTATTAACCGTTTGAGAGGCGATTGGTGACCGCTTGTGGCGTTTTTGACCGTTTGAGAAGTGGTTGACCGTTTCTTAGGCGATTTGTGACCGTTTGTGAGGCGGTTGACCGTTTGTCAGGCGATTATTGACCGCTTGTGGCGTTATTGACCGTTTGAGAGATGATTTATAACCGTTTGTGTGGTGGTTGACCGTTTGAGACGCGGTTGACCGTTTTTGAGACAATTATTGACTGTTTGAGATGTGGTTGACCGTTTGCAACGCGACTTCTGACATGATTCTTGACCACATTGGCTGTTTGCAGCGTGATTCTTGGCAGTTTGTGACGGGAATGACCATTTGTGACATGATGCTTGGCATTTGTAAAACGATTCTTTAAAAGGTTTTTTATTTACTTATAGGCAATCCGACACTGCCTCCTATTGTTTTCGATCAGTACTACCAATAAAAATAATAGTTGACAGTTTGTGGGTTTTGGAGCGATGACTGATTTTTGAATTTTACAATTATGTTTACATAATTAGTCAATTAATTTAATTTTACAATAAATGGAAAGAGGTCGCGTTTCAAACGTCACAAAGTGTCAAAAGCGTGATTTAACCCTTAAACGGTCATAGCAAATCAAGTCCTTTTTGGACCTCAATACAAGCAAGGTTGAGAATGCCTTATTTAGGGTAAATCACCCAAATATCGTCTGTCGCACTCGTGGTCCGTTCGCGAACTATTTGGTGCTGTGGATTACCTTTGCGGTATATTAGATATTGTGTGACAAATATTATTTAAAATACAGCACGTCAAGCTAAATTGCACTTATTTTCATAGTAATAAAAGTGTTTTGCAACAAAATGCGCAGCTTGGTGTGCTGTCAAAACTATATTTCAAATACTACGCGATGTATGGAATTTGTATGACTGCGTCATAAATGTATGATGTTCAGTCGGCGTCAAATAGTTCGTGACACCCAAAGTGGCCAAAAAGTGACAACACAACCTTATTCCAATGAGGGCTATCGTTTTTATACTTAACAGTTGGCACCCCTGGCGATTCACAGGACCTTACTCTACAGTGGCGCCATCTTGATGAGTGCAAATGCGATAGTCTTCCTACCACTTTCGCGCTCACCAGTCGGTGCCACTGTCTTCGCTACTAGCAAGTGACAGGACCTTACTCTACAGTGGCGCCAACTGGTGAGCGCTAAAACGATAGCCCTCATTGTAACAAAGACGTGCTGCGAACTTCTTGGCTACTTTGGGTGTCACGAACTATTTGACGCTGAGTGTTCAACGCGTAGTATAGTCCGGTCGTCGAGCACGTAGAATTTCGTCCAATCCAATTACCCCAAGCTACCCACCCCTATCGCTCACGCGTAATTATGTTGCTATCGCGCTCGCACACTCACTGCGGCCGCTCGTCGCACAGTCGCGACAGCAATATAATTACGAGCGAGCGAAAAGGATGGGTAGCTTGGGGTCATTGGACGAAATTCTACGTGCTCGGCGACCGGACTATAGTGTGAATATACCTTTAGAGGACACTGGAGTGTAAGGCTACAGTGCTGGACAAGATATTGTACACGTATCGGCGTTTTGCTATTTCAAAATGTTTTCAATTGATTTTGAATCTTGTGCAAAAGACATACGATTCAATATCCATTGAAGAAAGAAGTTTTGAAAGATAATAACTATTTCCTCAATCGATTTTTGACCTTATAGTAAAGGAATAAAGTTCAAAATTGAATGCATTGGATTTTAGAGAGATCTAAAAAAAAATCCATAGGTACAATATGTTGTCGGGACTGTAATATATTGTTATTTTTTAAATATAGTATTTTAATTAATTGTATTGTATTTGATTTTAATCATTATTGTTTTTTGTTGAGGACTCTTTGCATTTTTTCTGACGAAATAATTATTTTAACTTAAAGTTAAAAATAATTATTTTTCTACTCAAACCACGTTAATAAATTAAAATAACAAGGTTAGTAATGCCCGTTTTCACCATCAATACCAAATTTTTAAGTGACCCCTATGTAAACAAAATTCCTGTTATTTGTTACCATATCAAAAATTTCTTACAAAACTTTGCGCGCAAAAAGCAAATCTAGTATGAAAATCATCAAACTTGTAATGCTCGTAACTCAGTTCAGACTGAGTTTAGAGGTATACATGTCATAGTAAGTTTGGTTTATTACACTATTTTGTAATCAAAAAACAAAGTTTGGTCGATGGCCGCGCGAAAAAAAAAGACGCCAATTTCCGGCATTGTCTTTTTGTCAGTGTGTGCGTGCGCGCCGCATACGTGTTGGCGCGCTCACATACAAACCGCGCCCGTGCGTTTCTATGAAGATGACCTACTCATTTGTATTTACTCTGCTTCAAATTTGTCAGCTCTGTCACGTCATATGTCAATGTCACCCCTCCCGTGCTGCTTTCATACCTCAGGCACTGTTTAAGTTAAGTGCTAGACCTTACTCATACAAAATTATACCTAAATCCATGATTATCTTTTCTATTTAATGAACTAGAAAACACGAGGTTTTAAGTCCATAAGGACCCCTAGTTAAGAAACCCTATAAAAAACTTTACACAACTATAAAAATAAAATACATCCACAAAAAGCTTATTTATTTTAAAATACTAATAAAACATCACAGAGAATGTAAATTATGTTACTATTTTGTCTGTGGTTAGTTTTTTGACAGCTGTCACTAAATTGAGCGAATGAAGGAGTGATTTGTACGTTCACTCATTCGTTTTTCGCGCCAGTTCCTATGAATTGATTGAATGATATACATTTGATTTGATATTTAAATTGATTTCGAAAGGGTGGTGGAGTGTAGTATTAAAAATTATGTTTTAGTTAATACATTTATTTTGCAGTGCCAAAGATGGTAAAAATCAACCATTTTGAATATTAAAATGGATAAAAGAAATAATCAAGTGTTTAAATCAAAAACCTTTATGCAAGTTCCTTGCTTGCCTTTTAAAAATATTTTTATTAAAGGTTTAGTGCTTAACTCCAGTGCCTGAGGCATGGGAGCGGCACTGAGGGTATTTTTGTGACATCAAACGTCAGCGAGACTTCAGATTTGTATGCTCTGTCACGTCATAATTATGTCAATGTCACCCAGCATTGCCAGACGTCCTGATTTTTAAATCAAATTTAAATGTCCCGCGCGGGACAGGCTCGGTCCCGCTTTTCGGAGAGAGACACTCACTTCACCAGACTATTGTTTGAAACGCCATATTATTCTAAAGAATAAAACTTTTTTAATTTTTTTCTTTTTTTTTTCTAAAGACGAATTTAACGATAGAGTAAAATATTATTTTTTTGTTAAAATTCATTTTCTATATGCTACTTTTGCTATCTATTGTCACGTAAACGTAATTTTAAGTTAATTAAAAAGATAAATATTTGAAAACCTTTGATTAGGTATATACGTTTTTTTACTATGTCCCGCTTTTGACGGAAGAATCCCGCTATTTTCACTCAAAAAGTACCAAAGTCCCGACTTGGCGAAAAAAAAACTGGCAACGCTGATGTCACCCCTCCCGAACCGCTACCATACCTCAATCATTGAGTTTAGCGCAAGACCTATAATATTGTCATAATGTATTGTGATGTCAAATAGAGTATTTGAAACCAACCAATGAATGTGGGTTTCCTTAATGGGGATGTTGCCTGGGTCAAAAAGCAAGAGTTTTAATTAGTCCGTCAGTTAACTTATCAAAAAATACTCTACACGTATTTTTCACTTTTTCAAACTAATGAAAATTTAAAGAGATAAAGCGCCCCAAAGTTCATAAGAAGAGGCCCGTGACGTCAACGCTTGCTTAAAAATGCCGCACGTTGTGACGTCGTGCGCAACTTCAACGCACCATAACTATGTAATTATTTGTTAGATTGACAAATAAAAATATATGTGTCCAATATTTTTTGATATTAAACATTACGGACTAAAAAAATTTTTTTAGGCAACTAGCCTATTACGATCATCAGTTGGCCCCACTGGAAGGTAAGGTTCTGTCGGGTCTGACGCAGAATGTGCACTTCGCAAAATGAGCATTTCGCGAAATGCGCACTTTTCCATACTAATATTATACAAAAAAAACTCTTCAGCCTTTACATTTACGGGACTATTCCCACCGCTGCAACTCCTGTAGCCAGGATCTACAGCTTGACCGCCAATAACCCAACCAGTGAAGGTCAAGTTTGTCCCGGGGGCAAGTTAAACTGTCATTGGACCCGCAACGAAATTAGTCAGAAGAACATAGGAGTTCGAAATTAAGCCTTTACATTTGTATAGAAAAGTGCTCATTTTTCGAAGTGTACAGTCTGCGTCAGACCCGTTCTGTCATTTGCCAATAGCGCCAACTGGTGATCAAAAAAGAAACCTCATTCTATAGAGACAAAAAAACTTAAAAAATGATTTTGCCTTTTTGATGGGAAAGTAAGCTACCTAAATACCTTTAATATAATAATTTTTATATGCATTTGTTTAAATCCTAGTAATATTAACTCTTATTGTAAAAATCAAAAAGCATTATAATAATGTCAATATTATAAGTTACAATTATATTATACCTATCCTCTTCCAACCAATGTATAGTGAAAGGGATGACAATATTATATCAGTAGCTAAATTATTATTAATGATTTTTTCTCACAACTTTTAAATTATCTTAATGAGTGGTATAAAGTTAATGCACAAATCTGTATTTATTTTTATTATGATTGTGTTTGGTTCTTTTGTTAAGAAAAAATAAAATAGTTACCCAAAATTATTTTGTTTATTTTGAAATAATTTTAAATAGTAGGGTACACTGGGTATGGTTGTAACAACTCGAATGTTATCGTTCCCTTTGTACCTACCGAGCAACAGTCGAGTTGTTACCTGTACCCTGTTACAACCGTACCCTGTTACAACCGTACCCTGTTACAACCGTACCCTATTACAACCGTACCCAAGCTTTCCTAGGTTAATATAAAGTACCTACTAAATTATTTAATAACTAGCTGTGCCCACGACTTCGGACGCGTGAAAATAGTTTGAATAATTTCCCGGTTCTGCAACATTTTTCTTTATTGCTCCGCCCCTATTGGCTGTAGGGTGATGATATAAAAGCCTTCCTCGATAAAATAAATGTTTCCCTATTTTGCAACATTTTTCTATATTGCTCCGCCCCTATTGGCTGTAGGGTGAAGATATATAGCCTAAAATCTTCCTCAATAAATGGGATATCCAACACAAAAATCATTTTTCAAATCGGACCAGTAGTTCCAGAGATAAACGCGTTCAACCAAACAAACTTCAGCTTTTTAATATTAGTATAGATTTTTCTTTTTACCTAATGAACAAAGCGTGGAATCCGTTAAATCCATTAAAAGATGACTCAAATAATACAATGACGTCTAAATAGTGGAAAACCTCATTAACGTGTGATTAATATCACTATTGTTTGTACTTTTGTTGTTTTACTTATGTTAATGATTATTACTAAACTTGTTTACCCGCAAGGTGGACAGACGACCTAATATAGGTGGAAGGCTGAATGCAGGCCGCTACCAACCGGGCGATGTGGCAATCATTGGGGGAGGCCTATGTTCAGCAGTGGACGTCCTGTGGCTGAAATAGTGATGATGACAAACTTGTAATTCTTTGTTCCGTTTGGGTTGTAGTGACAACTGCGGTCACGAGATGTCAATAAATGATTTAAAATAATCATTAGCAGGCCACTTCTTCACTGCAGGAGTATGACCCTCTCTAATTTACCAGAGGCAAATGGAGGGTTTGGCCTACACTCCACGCTGCCCAGACGGGTTGGGCAGGCCTGTGGGCTGAGTGTGAGTTACATAAATTCTGTACCCCCAGTGAAAAGGGAGTTAAGTCGAAAATGGTGATTTTTGGGAAATCGCATTTGAAGTTAAAAAAAATCCTGCTTCATCGCTATTAGAGATAACTTGGTGAAATATTTTTAGGTGAAAGGTAATGTTAGATATAATTAGGCAGTGTGCCAGTTTGGGAAATATAGCATGTGGTTTTTTCGTAATTAAATAAAAACACAGTTATATCACCATGCACGACAACTTTACATTCGTGTAAAGTGATGTAATGGGACATAAATCATTTTACACCACACTGAATTGACCACACGCTAACAAGTGTAAAGTGATACATTTTCCGCCATTTCTGTTGATAATTTTTTGTTTCTTCAATTTTAGAAAAAGTTGTAAAACAAACATAAGTAATTACACTATGAGGAATCATTATTTCAGGTTATTTAGGGTAAATCGTCCAAAAATTTTTACTTATATCAATATACACCAATTTTGTGGTGAGAAAAAAAATGTGTAAACTGATCTAACTAACATAACAGCGATCTAAGTATCCAAATAACTATGTGTAAAGTGATATAAGTGGCGATTGTAAAGGAATAAGGCTAGAATTTTAAGACTGAATTCTAATTATTTACTCCTTAAATGTTTATTCTGATCTGAAACTACTATTTTATTAATTATTACACCATANTACTGTTTGCCCTGTTTTAATGAAAAACACTTTAATTAAAAACAAATATTATAATTTTATGGTAACTGAAATTTTGTTTTATTCCCATCCCTAGTCGAGACACAAATTGGACTTTCTTTCAGTGCGAAATGAGGCAGAAAAGATGTCATATATATTTTTTTAATTTATTCAATACCAAAATGTCATAACTGCGGGCGAAGCTAGTTTAAGGTTAAACATCTATTTAAGTTTATAATAGAAAAGTTTCAAGCCAATATTGTCTTTCCTGAGCTATATTTAAAGTATTTTTAGAAACAATATTTTGTGAGGCAGAAAAGGTCTCATACGCACTGTAAAGAAGTTCAATATTGACTCGAAAAGACCTCATACGCACTGGCTGAAAGTCTACGAAAAATGGTTACGCAGTGAGCGTGTTAAGTTGCAAGATTTGACGACAGACACCAGACATGTGAAAGTAATAAAAAGCTTGTAAAAACTCACACTCAGCCCACAGCTCTCTGATGTTCCCGTATTCGCCACTAAGGCCCATTGCGATTTTGCGATGGGCATCGCTGTGCGACAGGGTGGCACTGCTCAGTTTTCTCTTCCATTGTATGTTTTATGTGTTACCTCTGTCTTGTTTGTTTTTTTTTATTTACCTCTTGTATTTTGTAATGTCCATTAATTGCGATAAATGTTTCTTTCTTTCTTTCTTTCTTACTTTCAAATAGGTACTACCTACACAACCTCCTCTTCGCTTTGGTGGAAACCGGGCTTTAGTCACCTCTTCCAAATCCACGGGAAAAGTGAGGGTGATTAGGGACCACCCTTTCTGCCACAACCAATACCTAACTTAAGTTATTGTACCTACTTCTTGTTTATGTTCTTATGATTGTATTAGAGTAGGTAAGTAAGTACATCCATTCGCCACCTCATCAATAGATACTAAACCTTTGGGACCGCGTTATTTATGTTTATGACCCATTGTGTTAAATAGAGTACTTACATACTTATGTAAGTAAGTACTTACGTTAAATGTGGAACTGAATCAATGCGCCATAACTTATTTTACTTATATATGACAAACTAGGTGCCCGCGACTTTGTACGCGTGGACCCCGTTTTACCCCCTTAGGGGTTGAATTTTGCAAAATCCCGTCTTATTGAGCACCTACGTTCTAAAAGGAACCTCCATGCAAAATTTGAGACTCCTAGCACTTGTAGTTTCTGAGATTTCGTGATGAGTGAGTCAGTCAGTCGCAATGTTGTAGGAAATATTATGTTTAATCAAAAATTAATAAGATAGTCAAATAATTATATTGATAACAGTGATTTACAGTTTACCAACTAATCAATTTTTATCGTATGCCAGTGGATTATAGTGATTGTTTACATATAAATACCCTAGCTAAAATCAGAATAATTCAGTGTAGTGCCGTCATAACAAAAATGCGTACCTTCATCATTTTACTCTTGGGGCTTGCTGCTGTGTCAGGTACCTAATTAAATTATTTTTAAAGATTTAGATAAATAAATTATTATTAATTAAAAATCTTGCTTTTTATGCATAAACATTAAAAAAAACTCATTAAAACTCATTTATTTCTGTAAATAGGCTTAAAAAAAGCACTTTTACACGTCCCAGTATTAACCCTACCACTGCTTCAGGACAATAAATGGGCCAGTGCTGAGAAGAAGCAGCGCAAGAAACTCAGTCACTATTGTCAGCCTCTTTTTCAAAGGTTTACATGCTTTAAAATGTACAAAGTTATAAATATTTTTAAAATGTACAAGGCATTTGACCACAATCACACTTTGTGTTAAGTGGGATGCAGTCTAGGATGTATCATAAAATATCTGCCTTGTATTTGCCTATTCACTCTCGCCTTGAAAAGGCCCGGAGTATAGTCTTCGGTAAAGAGCAGCAGGCAGCGAATTCCAGTCCCTAGCTGTTCGCTTTTCTAAGCGATTCGAGTCGCTTCTCAAACTAAATTTTACAAACAACTTGAAAATCGATGAAAGAGCAGTCGCCTAGCAAGCGAAAGGTCGTGGGTTCTCTCTCCCAGCGACATCATCCAGTAAAACTCAAGTAGGTAAACTACATTAAGCTAGAAAGGGACTCTAAAATGGGGGTTTTACACTAAAGTCTAAACCAATTTCTTACAGCATACCCTAAGAAAATCCAAAGAATCGTTGGAGGTTCCGTGACTAGCATCAACCAATACCCCGAGATGGCATCGCTGCTATTCTCCCAGGGAACAGGCAGCCTCTACAGACAGGCGTGCGGAGGCACCATCCTCAGTTTCCGCTCCATCCTCACAGCCGCCCTCTGTACCATGTGAGTTAAAGCCCGGTCTGTGAGCACGTAGAATTTTGTCCAATGACCCCAAGCTACCCATCCTTATCGCACGCGCGTAATAATATTGCTGTCGCGACTGTGCGACGGGCGCCCGCAGTGAGTGTGCAAGCGCGACAGCAACATAATTATGCGCGAACGATAAGGATGGGTAGCTTGGGGTCATTGTACAAAATTCTACGTGCTCGCAGACCAGACTATACACAAAATAAATCCATTTCCATTTTAGGGTTCTGTAGTCCTGACAAGGAACCCTTATAGTTTCGATATGTCTGTCTGTCCGAGGTTTTGCTTGGAAACTACTGGCACTAGAGAGCTGTAATTTTGTGGAGGTATGTATATTGATCACGCCGACAAAACGGTAGAATAAAATTTTGGAAAAAAAATTTTTTAGTGTAGCTCCCCTACATGTTAAGTGGGGATGATGTTTTTTTCATCTTCTACCCCATCGAGTGGTGTATCACTGGATAGGTCTTTTAAAATGGCTACGGGGTTTCTAAGACTATTTTTCCATTTAGGGATCTGTTTGCAAATTATTAAAGTTTAAAGTGCCAGTTTTTGTTCGAATAGGGCGTGCCCCGCCATCTAAAAACTGTTGGCTTTAAAAATCCGAAAAAAATCGTAATGATACTGCTTTTCATGAACTTTTAAGAAAAACTATAGCGGTTAATATAGATCAGTTAGTTTAAGAGTAATAGCACAGAATAATAATATGTACTAATAGTCATTTGACTGATGTATTATAAAATTTCTTGACCAGCATAAATTCCTTAGAAGAAAATAATATGAAAAGTGACTTTCGATGAAGTCATTGCTTGCTTCTGAAATATATTGTGGTAACGACGGATAACTAAGGAACCCCACACTGCGCGTGGCACGACACGCACTTGGCCAACTTTTGGGTTTTGGGACATCTGGCCCATGCAGAAACTGGGCTTCGGGCTTATTGTATTAGACGTTCATAAGTGCCACCAGTGGTCAAAATTGAATAAAATATTTTTGATTTTGATTTAATGAAAAATTGTATTTTCAGTGGACATGCTCCAATAAGATGGCGCGCCCGAGTTGGATCCACCTTTGCGAACAGCGGCGGCTTTGTGCTCGACACCCAAACAATCACCAACCACCCAAACTACAACGGCTGGATACTAGACAACAACCTGTCCATCATCCGAACCTTTCGTGACATCCCCATCTGGAATAATAGCACCGTGCAATTTGCCAACATCGCTGGTGCCAACTACCAACTTGCTGACGACCAAGTCGTCTGGGCTACGGGATGGGGTGCCACTTCTGTAAGTTGCTTTTTTCTGTGACCTCCATATAAAAACTTCTTAGGCGACTTCGTACGCATGGACCCCGTTTTACCCCGTTAGGGATTGGATTTTGCAAAACTCCGTCTCAGTGAGCACCTAAGTTTTAAATGGAACCCCCATGCAAAATTTGAGAGTCCTAGCACTTGTAGTTTCTGAGATTTCATAACTCAAAAACGCCTTGAACAATTTTACCAATACTTTTTTGAAAATGTTTCTTGAATTCTAAGGATGGCTTTTACGGCGAGAAAAATCGAATAATTTCCAGATAAACCACGTCGAAGCCGCGGGCGGAAAGCTAGTCTTTAATATTATAAAAAAATGAATCGCAAAATGTTGGTAAGCGCATAACTCAACAACACTGCAACGCCTGGACCAATTTTACCAATTCTTTTCAATAATATTTCTTGAATTCTAAGGATGGTTTTTACGGCGAGAAAAAATCGAATAATTTCCGCGAAAAACTCTAAAAACAGCCCTTTTTTCACGCGGATGAAGCCGCACACGGCCGCTAGTTTAAAATAAATTTTGACCTATTTCAGCAAGGAGGATCGTCGTCTGAAGAACTGCGCCACGTGCAAATCTGGACTATCAACCAGGCCATTTGCCGACAGCGCTACGCTACCACGGGTGACACCATCACTGACAACATGCTGTGCGCTGGTTGGCTCGACGTGGGCGGTCGCGGCCAGTGCCAGGGCGACACTGGTGGACCGCTGTTCCACAACGGGGTCGTCGTCGGCGTCGGTTCCTGGGGCCGTGGTTGCGGTCAACCCTTCTTCCCTGGTGTCTACACCCGCGTGTCTCGGTACACCAACTGGCTTTCATGGGCTTAAGATTTAATACATACTCGCTAATTTCTATAATCTTATGTTTTACTAGCGGCCGCCCGCGACTTCGTACACGTGGATCCCGTTTTACCCCCTTCATCTATCTTACGCGGTTTAGATTTTTTCATACAAATGTTTTTTCCCGCTAACTCCCGTTCCCGTGGGAATTTTGCAATATCCTGTTGTAACTAAGCTTTAAGTTTACTAGGTACCTGCATGCCAAATTTCAAGCGTCTAACTTAAGCGGTTTAGATTTTTCATACAAAAGAATTTTCCCGCTAATTCCCGTTCCCGTGGGAATTTCGGGAATTCCTTTCTTAGTGCACCGCTACGGTACCTAAGCTACGTCCCTCCAAATTTCAAATGCCTATGTTTAGCCGTTTAGGCTGTACGTTGATATGTCAGTGAGTCAGTCAGTTTCTCCTTTTATATTTAGATTAAGCTTCAACCACAATGCAGATCGCCATCGCCGACGCGATCATAGGCCAATGACAGGGCGCGCGGACTGTCAAGAAAAACCTCGGACAGACAGACAGACATGACGAAACTATAAAGGTTTCTTGTCAGGACGACGGAACCCTAAAAACGGATCTGCGTAAAGGCAATAAACTCGTGCGTACTCAACAGGCTGTCACTGTAGTTTATTTTTACTTAATGCAGTCTATATTTGGCTTGAGATGCAAGCAAGGTAGATGAATACAGTAATACCATCATCATCAGTGTGCTTACCATGAGTTTATGTTACGTGTGCTGGCTAGCGACTGCGTAAAAAAATACATTAAATGTATGACAGATTGTACAGCGCCCCTAGCGGTTACTTTCAGAACTTTTTTCAAAATCTTCGTAGATTTTTTGACGTCATTAGAGAGGGTCGGGCTCCTGCAGTGGAGACTAAATAACTTGATGATGATGATGACCTTATAAAATACTACAAATCTAACTTGATATGCTCTCTATTGTGGACCTAAATGACAGTTAACTTTCTCCGGGACAAACTTGACCTTCACTGGTTAGATTATTGGCGATCAAGCTGTAGATCCTGGCTACACAGGAGTTGCAGCGATGGGAACGAGAGGTGGGAACAGTCCTGTATATTATGGACCTACTGAAATCAAATTGTAAGGTGTGTGAAATACTGCTGTGACGTAGGTACTTACTAATGCGTTTATTTTCGTATTTTATAAATAGCTTTTTGCCGATTAGGTGCAGTAAGGCATATTGATAAGATATGAGGCATATTATAGTTTGTTCTCTGTAGTTGTGCCTTATACACCTCTACATTTTTATCACCGAAAAATTTTTAACAGGTCATGTAGAAATGTGTAAAAAATTTAAAGTAAAAAAAAAATTTTTTTTCATAAAGTTATTTTTATTATTAAATTTTCTTTAGTCCGTATTTTACGCGTCACAGCTGGGTCACTCCGCTGCTCGCTAGAGTAGTTATACGCGCTCGCACATTGCCCCGATCTGTCTGTCTCGCTCACGCTTCGACCACGCTTCCAGTGTTATTATTACTTACTTAGCTAACTTCAAGTAATTTTGAGTTCTAATAAATGTTACATTATCTTACGTAATAGTGCTATCGACGCGTGTGTCCATAAATTACCAATTTTGAGATGAAATTTTGAGTAACTTTATTTAACTTTTTTTTTTGCATAAATAGGATCAGCACCTATCAATAACTCATTACCCAGATTTTTTTTCGGTGATAAAAATGTAGTGGTGTATAAAATAAATGAATAAATATTTTGTTCCTAATGAAAAATTTCCACAACAATACACACACAATGTAAATCGATTTAGTTGTTGACCGCCTCGCCTCCGATGATGACGTAGTCATTTACGTCATACGTCATTGGACTGGTGGCAGTGTCGGACTGGCCGACTCGAGATCCGAGGAACGCGGGTTCAAACTAGCTAGGGATGTTATGGATTATGTAGTTTCGGTTATGGATACGGTTACGGATATTGAAATAATATTATACCGGTTACGGTTATATTTTATTTCGGATATCCGAAAGTTTCGGTTTATCCAAAAGTTTCGGATATTTTCGGTTACGGATATTAGAATTTAAAAAATGTAAAATCCAAATGCTGTGCGACCCACAACCACTTTATACTATGACGATACCTATGATAAAGGTAGTACAGGTAAACTCAGTCAGTAAAGTTCACTAGATTTCTAGCTTTCGTTAGGTTAGAGGGAAGTCGAAACTTCGAACTCATTCTATGTTCTCCTGATTAATTTCGTTGCGGGTCCAATGACAGTTTAACTTTCCCCCGGGACAAACTTGACCTTCACTGGTTGGGTTATTGGCGGTCAAGCTGTAGATCCTGGCCACACAGGAGTTGCAGCGGTGGGAACGAGAGTTGGGATTAGTCCCGATTCTACTCGTGTCTCCTGGTGTATACAAAGCTTTAAGGTTATTAACATGACTCTTTAAAAATCTGTTGTTTTGATAACTCATCAAATATTAGGTACTAAAAATAAAGTAACCATTTCGCGGTTGGGTGCTAATTTTTTACTAGAATTATTGTTGATTTTGATGCTATCTGATCATGCTATTTTAAGACCCAAAGTGACCGCACTTGGACGCAAAACATTTAACCATTAAAAGTAACTAAAATATGACAGACAGTTGTTGCGGCGCTTCTTCTCAGCACTTGCCAAAATTAAATGTTGGTGTCGAAGCGCTGATAGGGTAAGAAGATTATGAGACATGTAGAGGCTCCTTAGATGATGCGGGGGTCGGCTGGTGACTCCAAACAACTCAAAAATACAGCTGCATAAAACGGAAACCACCAACCTGCGGATCAGAAGACGGAAACCAGGCTTCGAGGGTCGACCCGTCGATATTTCTTGCGGTTTTGATTAATTCAATTTATATTCAGATTCAGCGGATTTTTCACATTGACTTCATTTGACAGACGTTCCAAGACAAGATTTTATATTTTTTTATATTTTTAAACCGGCAGACAGTGGTGACTGAGTTTGTTGCGGCGCTTCTTCTCAGCACTTGCCAAATGTTTGTCTCGAAGCGCTGGTAGGGCAAAAAAAGAATGAGACATGTATAGGCTCCTTAAGAGCATTTGACGATTTACAAGAACTAATTTAATTAGTCTAAACAAATAAAGATAATTTTGATTTTTGATTTTTTTTTTGAAGATGGAGTTTTTTCTTAATTTTCCATAGAGGTTTTTCGCGAAGGTTGGCTCCTGCGAAGGTGCTGGCCCCGAATCCGATACAGATTAGTGGGAAACCATCTCATGCAGCTAGATAATTTGAGAGTTGGAGCCACCGAAGAAAAGGAAGAGAAGAAAGTTGGACATAGGCCCAACCAGTAGCACTAACAGGAAGGCGCTGGATGCAGGCCGCTACCAACCGGGCGATGTGGAAATCATTGGCGGAGGCCTATGTTCAGCAGTGGACGTCCTGTGGCTGAAACGATGATGATGATGAGTTGGCAATTTAAATGATAGATTGCATGGTATTTCTGAAAGCTCATATTAGGTAGGTACAAAGTACTTTTAAATTAACCTTTAGATTAACCGTAAAAATAGAGGCTACTGCGTTTCTTTGCCACTTCTCAGCTCCAATTAGGTATGTTGAATTTAAATATTATCTTATAATACGCTCTTACCTAATCACAAACATTACTATGAGGTTTCACAATGCGCGTGGACGCACAGGGCGACACACGAACCAATCACAGAGCTCTATTCAACCTTGTGCGTTCGATTTGCGGCCTCACTTAAGCAAGCATCGTTTGTAAATACGGGTGTTAGTTTCTTTTGCCCCTTCTGTACCTACTTTTGTGAATATTTTTAACTTTACGAAGCCACAAACCATAAATTCTACTTACTCCGAATAGACATAATAAGACTGCCTACGCACTGGGAATTCCCTTGCACCGACCTCATGGAATATTTACAAGAAAAATACAACCCGGCGGTTTTGCAGCGCGGAGGTTATATTTAGAAAGGGAGTTTTGACAATAAGGCTTCTCCACAGTAGAGCAACGTAAAGAAATCTTTGCTTTGTGGTAATGATGGACAAAAATATAAGGGGGCGTCTATTTTGGCGATTTTTGGACCCTATTTTCCCCCTTGGTGAGATATTGTGAGATATAGCTCGACCCCTTCCCCCTCCCTCTAATTTCACTTGCAAAAATAAAATGAGCTTTATGAATTTTTATTCAACCCAACTAGCGATCCGGTGCTGACGGTGGCGCCCCCAGTGTAGTCTAATATAACTGAAAGGTGACTGACTGACTGACTGACATAGTGATCTATCAACGCACAGCCCAAACCACTGGACGGATCGGGCTGAAATTTGGCATGCAGGTAAGTAGATGTTATGACGTAGGCATCCGCTAAGAAAGGACTTTACGAAACTCTACCCCTAAGGGGGTAAAACGGGAACCACGCGTACGAAGTCGCGGGCGGCCGCTAGTTAATCTATATTAGGGTTCTCTTTTTACCCTTTGAGTGAGGAATCCTAAAAATTTACGCTACGAAACCCTACGATGAATACTTACACTTTTGAACTTTTTTTTTATCCACAACGAGGAAGCTCTTGGCCTGTATCTCACCTGATGGTAAGTGATGATCAGGCCGAAGGTGGAAGCGAGCTTCACCCGGAATCCTCAACCACGGAGGAACTGGATATCTTACCTCTAACTGCCGGAACACAACAATTTTGTTAACATTGGGGGCATTTCATGCGAAGCGGGCAGGTAAAAAAAGTCGATGTTTCCGATTTCAGTAATATTTGAGTATGTTCTACCTATACATATTATTGATACGTGTACCAAATATTTTTGTAATATAATGACTAGTTTAAGAGTTATGGGTCTTCGAAGTTTTCGACAACCGGTTGGCATGCAGTACTTCAAAGCTGATTATGAAGTCATAAAATTATATATTAAAATAATTAAACCACGGGATTTATTACTTCATTTACCGTGCTTTTTAACTGTATTTTTGGAAACGAAAAAAAAATTATTTTTTCGTAAAAAAAATGCAAATTAATT